TTGAATCTTCCTTGCCTTTCTTGTAATAATTGCTCCTTTGATATATGTAATTGGTCACAAATGGATTCGTATCACATTCTTGATCCATTCAAGAAAGCCTTCGATGTCTAATCTGCCATCAAACGGAGGAAGATCGACTTTCATCTTATATTCACTGGGTTCGCGGGGTTGATAAGGATTGTATTGCTGTTGCCGGTCATCCCACAGTGGCATATCCTCCTCATCACTGGATGAATCTTCAAGGAATTGTCGTCGGCGAGGACGTTGAACAAACCGACGACGCGTACGCTATTCTTGCTGTCTTTCTTGAAATGGTGGAAGGGCATAGTGTAGTTCTTGATGGTTAGAAAGGGTTCTGGGATAGGGTTCTTGGTTCGGATTGTGGCCTAATTGCGAATGTTGGCGGAGAGCAGGCTGAGGTTCTTTAAGAGAAAGAGGATCTTTCATCAATCTTGGCACTTGGTGTTGTGTGTCGCAATCCACAGCAATCCCCTGTTCTTGAACCTCCTTGCCATTCTTTTTTCTTGGTTGTTCTTGTTGTATCGGCAGGCCATCAATCTTGTCTACCAAAACATTCAAGATTTGTTTAATCTCAACCACATTCCGCTGTAAATTTTCAACAGCTCCTTCAACCATCAGAAAGCGAATGGTTGACGACCGTGGAGAGAGAGCGGTGGTTGGTTCCGCTTCTTTGTCACCGAGTGAAGAATCTCCACTTACCGGAGCATTCTTTCTTCCCGCCATGGACAATTACCCAAGGACGTTGGTTGCTCTGATACCAAATTGGTGTAGGCAATTTTGAGAGAAAACTAGGATTGTATTCAAGTGTAGGAAAAGTTACAAATGACCAGCTATTTATAGGAAATATCCTAGGGATAAGGGAAGAACTAACAACTTAACTATCTAACTAACTAACTAACTCAAAGCTAACTAGAGTAGTTACTTATAGTTACATCACTTACAGTCTCTTTTGTTGAAGCTTCCTGTAAAGCAGCCACAGTATGTCATGTCTTTTTTTATGGAACGTACCTCAACATTAGATCATTTTACGACGGGTTTTGTCATGGATCAATATAACTTGCGTTTGTTTAAAATCCAGAGTAATAATTGATCAAATTTGATTTTGTGCACGACTTGATTTCATTGGAATTAGTGAGTTTTTGTTAAAATTAGTTGGTGAATTGGTGGAAATTGAACAGAGTAGAGTAAAAATTGTTTTTGCTTCCAGATTTTAATTATAGTTCCTAAGTTCAAGTTTATCATTTCTGGTGGCATGCAGGTTTGAAAAAGAGATAAATCGGCGTAAAGACATGGTTGCAGAAATTAGATCAAAAGTAAACCAGATGGCTTCAATATTGAAGATGTCAAACTTTGCTAACCGCGACAGTTTGCTTGGCCCAGATATGAAATCGGGGGATGTGATGACCAAAACAGTTGGACTGGACAATCAAGGACTTGTTGGTTTTCAAAGACAAATCATGAAGGGTAAGTTTCTCTCTTTTCACCATTATTATATACCCAGCTGCATCCCTTTTGGGTCTTCTCTGATATGATTCTGAAACAGAGCAAGATGAAGGTCTTGAAAAGCTGGAGGAGACTATTACAAGTACAAAACATATTGCATTTGCAGTTAATCAAGAGCTTGATCTTCATACTCGCCTAATAGTATGGTTTCTGTTTGCTAGATCCATTCTTTTATAGTTCATTCTCCATCGGATATATTAAGTTTCCATCTAATTGTACTCTACTCTGCAGGATGACCTAGACCAACACGTAGATGTTACTGACTCGAGATTAGCGGTAAAATTCTCGCTTACTTTTTCTTGTTGGCTTTAGATATCTCTAGGATGTGGAGATAATTTGTGTTCATCTTCACTAGTTGAAGTTGGATATGTGGTAATCTTTGTGTTAACTGTGGTGTCTCTTTTACAACAATGACAAGAAAAATTGATTAACTGATCTGGGAGCTTCACATTAAAACGACGGTTATAGAAAATATTCAGTGATTGTTTGTGCTTGATTATTTCGATCTTAGCTTTCTCGAGATTATTTCTCATGAGGACCCACGCTTGTTTGGACAATAAGCATGTTTGGACAATAAGCCTTTCCATATTTTCATAATGAAATGATAGTCTGCTTTGTAAACTCACTAGGCTTTATTTAGAAATGTTATCCAATAGACCCCTTGTACCATCAAAATTATTGTTCATAATTATATACCAAGGTTAGCCCTCAAGGGCCAGTCCAGTAGGCAAGGGTAGTAAAAGCTCCGACTCCCGGTTATTAAAAAGAAATATACCAAGGTTTTTTTCTCACCTCTAGTTGATGTGAAACTACGTTTGCTTAAAATGCTCCCATCTAATAAAAAAACCACTTTGACCTCTTATAAAATAGGCATTCATCCATCCCAGTCTAAAGCACATTAGGAGTTTGCTCTTGTCCAACTCCAAGCTGACTCATCTTCTTTGAAACATCGTCTATCTTAATAGAACTCAACCGAGTATCACATAGCAGGATGATCGGTGCTGACCACTATTTGCCACACTGTTAACAGAGCTTACAACTCTACAATTAAAGTTTAAGGTTTAGGGATAAACACGTCGGTAGGTCTTCACATGAGAATTTCGCTAGACATGATTTGATTAATAAATGGGACATGTATGACTCCATCGGTGGACTAAATGGGACAAGAGAAAGGATATAAATGAAAGTAAGAGCCAAGGGCTGAATGATAAAACATATAAACTTATCATCGAGTAGCGACACAACAATCTCTTCTCTACATCGAACTGTTGTGTTATTCTTTAGTTAAATCTTGGTTTCCATTTTTGGCCATTACTTTTATTGTTTGATCTGAGAACAGAGGGTGCAGAAGAGACTGGCAGTGTTGAACAAGCGAACCAAGGGGAGCTGCTCCTGCATGGGCATGCTTGTGTCTGTGGTTGGTATTGTGGTTCTCATTGCTGTCGTATGGCTGCTCATTCAATACTTGTAAATTAAACATAACATAACCATGTGGATATAAGATTTTTCATTTCATGATTAATATCGAAATTGTCAACTTATATTACGAAGTTGTTGGGCTTCATATCATATGGTATGGAAGTTAAGTTAGATCCTTTTTACTCCTCAAGAATTGAAATAATAAAAAATAGGAATGAAAATCAATCAAAATGGTATCAATGCGAATATGAATGATGTTTTTTACTATGTATGAAAACTTGATGTTGTTTATTATGAACGGTCTATAATTGGATTAAAAATGAGACGAATGATAATTACTATAATACTCCTTTTCGTATTTCTAACTAATTATGTATTAACTAAATATTCGGAGTGTCATTCACGCTGTGATTCTTTAGCAAGTTTGGGAACATTGTGAAAAGAGGAAAGGGCAGCAAGTTTGGAAACATTGTGAAAAGGGGAAAGGACAGCTGAAGAATAATAATTAGGCTAAATATATCTGGTTGTCCAAGACTAAATATATCTGATGGTCGGTAATCTTTTAAGTATTCTCAATGTAGTTCTTAATCTTTTATAATTCTTAATTTTACCCTCTAATATTTAAAGGTGCTACTTTGATACATGAATTTTTTTTTAAGTGGCATGAAATATTATTTAACATATTCTTTCTATTGAAGAATTTTATTGAGAATTTTTATCACATTACTGATCAAATTGACAATTTCAAAAGATTAAAGACAAATTTGAGAAAAATCTAGATAATTAAGGAGCATTTGATATATTTAGCATTAATTTTAATTAATTTTATTAGTAATATTTTTATTTTAAAAACTTATTCATCAACAAAATCTATTTTTTCCTAGTGGCATGTCCAAGTGTCATGCACATGCTAGCGGATCCTGAAATTGGCAAGAATTGTTGATAATTTTTCTAAGTTTAATATAAAATATCTATCGAGCATTAATTTTTTTAGTACAATAAGTGAGAGTGGAAATTCAAACCCATCATCTTTTAGTTGGAGATAATGTTAATTACTGATTAGCTAAGTTCATGATGTTGGCTCTACAAGAACATTAATAATAATAAAATTAAAAATTAATCTCCAAAGAGTAAAAGTAGTAATATATAAAATGTAAAGATAATAAAAATGTACCTTGGATAATTAAAATTGTAAACTTTTTTAGATGTTGCAAAATTGAAATTAAAACTTATATAAAATAAGAATAATTGAATACAAAAAAATGATGGTTTAAAGATGGAAAAAATATATCAGTACAAGAATTTATTAAAAAAATATATGTATTACCCATTTGTAACGACAAGGACAATGTATAAATGAAAAACAAAAAGCATTTGAATTGTCACCAACAATTAAATCATAAAGGTCCCATCAACTTTTGACATATTTGGTTGTCGTAAAAAATTTTAACATAGAAAATTTGTCATTTATCTTAATTTTTCATATATATTTTTTTAAATTGACCTAATCTATGATTTCTTTTTCTTCTTCGAAAATAAAATTGATGATTTTATTTCTTTTATAAAACTCAAAAAAAAAACTAAATATGAAAAATTAAGGGGAATCACGAATTATGCTTGAACACGGGCACTGGAACTAGAAGAATACGAATAAAAAAAAAAGAGAAAAAATAAGAATTAAAAAACAAAAAACAAAAATACAAATTAAAACAAAATAAAAGGCAGTATTGGAGGCTAACAAACACCAAAAACATAAAACATAAATAAAAGCACGGAGGTGTAAGCTCAATCACGCTAAATAATACGAAGTATAAAAAGTACAAATTACAAAAAGGGACTAAAATACGAATTAAAAAAAAAGAAAAAGAACGTAGGTATATGAATTAAAAAGTAAAAAAAAGTGTAAAATTGCGAATTAAAAAAAATGAAAAAGAAAAAAACGAATTAAAAAAGATAAAACGAAAAGTGTAAAATTACGAATTAAACAAAAATGAAAAAGAAAATATTACAATGGAGTTGAGATTCGAACTAGGATGTTCAAAGATGTTGAGGGGGGCTGGAGCTCAAAATTACCACTGTGGCACTCTTAATTTTGATATTAAGGTGCGTTTAGATGACTTACCTAAATCATGTACGTTGTACACGAGTATTAAACTCGTGTACATTGTACACGATTTAAGGTAAAACTTGTACAACGTACACGAGTTGACCCAAATTATTTATTTATTTTTTATGTTATTTATTTTTTAAACTATAACAATTTGCGGGCTGAATTCGGAAAGTATTCATACAAACTGAAATCACGTACAAACGTACACGATTTAAGTAAGTCGTGTACGTTTACACAACTTATCTAAATCGTGTACGTTATACACGATTTAATGTAAAACGTGTACAACGTACCTGAGTTCACCCAAATTTTTTATTTTTTTAAATGTTATTTATTATTTAAACCATAACAATTTGGAGGCTGAATTTGGAAAGTATTCCTACAAACTTAAATTTAACTTCAATTATAAAAATAATTCAAATTCATTAATCGGAGTTCATTACACAAGTTATTGAAAAATAAATAAACCAAAATATTATAGAATATGGATAAAAATTCATGTACCATATGGTCATTGTCTTCTCTGGCGAGCAAAACGTGTGTGCGTGCCCCATAAGTTGATTCTAAATTTCAGCCTATTTTAGTTTTTAAAAAATATTTTCATTTAAAATAAAATATTTTTACTTTTATGTCTAATTAAATTTTTTTTAATAAAATATGTGTAATTGTGTTTATATTATGGAACATATATTTTTTAATAAATTTAAATTTATAACCCTAAACTTAGATACATGTCATAATTTTTATTCCTCTATTCAATAAAAACTCACTAATTGATAAAAGATCAAGTTTCTAAAATGAAGTTGGTGTAATATAAAAAATCTACTATTAAATAACTATGCGAAAACTTTCAACAAAATTTACACAGGTGAAAGTTAGCACTCTCATCCAAATGTAAGGTGCAAATTGATACACTAGGTTCAACTAAATAATTTTTCATTATGTTTATTATATTTGTGCCCCTCTAGCCTGAAATCCTGGATCCGCCACTCGCTGTGGATGAATTGAACTTGCGATGTCTATATGAGTTGAAAGTGTAGGAATCATAATAAAATATTACTGAACTGGAATAGTCGGAATCGATCTTCAACTATTGGAGGTTCTGGATCTTGAATGTTATCCTCCTCTCAAAGTTGGAAGAAATTGCTCTACTAGTACCCTCTCAAATGTTTGTGCTTTGAATAAAGTTCTCACATAAAGAAGCCAACTACGATATACTATGTTCTACAGCACTTCACTGACAAAAAAGTTTTACAAAAAAAAGCATATAAATTTAAATTAATAATTAATTTAAGAAATGTAATACTCACCGTTTGAACGTAAAAAGCACCTTCATGTGTAATGTATTTTCTCGTTACAGAATTATACCAATCTAAATACTCAATTAAGGTAGTCGGCCGATCTATTACATTACTAGTTACACATCAGTCACGACGTTGACGCCACACTATTATATATGCTGCATGCTGGTGTCGCCTATTGATCATGTTTTCCTCGCAAGTCTATATGTAATTGTGAGTCCGTATCACAATATGATGAAATAGTTTATCTTAGCCCAAATTGTCTAAGACCCAATTTGGTTAATGAAACTCGATAATATGAAAACATATAAGAGAATTTGCAGTTAACCATATATCTCTACCATTTATGATAATATTCAGGCAATAAAGTCATAATATCGTGAGTATATGGTTGCCAATTAATATGAAATTAATAATAAATGTATTAATAACATAGATATTTATTTATTCATAAGTAGTAAATAAAATGCAAATTTTACCTGATTGGGCATAAGTCGATCAAAACATATGCAATATTGGATCAACATATTTATGGATGCTAAGAAGCAATTAAAACTCCATTCCATATACAAGTTTATGAGATGAATGAATATTAAATATATAACATATAGTCTATTATACAAATTTTGAGTATATAACATAGAAAAAAAAATAAACTTACCGGGCACTAAGAGGACGTCCTACGTGTTGTTCAGGAGTCACTAAATGGTGTTGTGGAGCAATGATGAGAAATCTATCCCAAGCCCATACTTGCAAAAGTATTGGTGGATCTGCTATTTCTAAAGCATCAGATTGACTAGCTCGACACAATTCTCGATACAACCATGCAAGACATGCACTACCCCAGGAATACTGTCCTGCTGCCTCCAATCGCTTAGGATAGGAAGAAACATGAGATGCACAAATGTGTTAGATTTATCAGGAAACAGAAACACTCCTATAAGCTGCATAATGTACGCTCTAGTATATCTCTACGCTCTAGTATATCTCTGTATTGTAATTTCATCATCATCCTGTTGTAATTCTGTGAATTGTGATGTTAATCATGGAATATTCAATCTAGACCCCTTAAGTTCGATAGGTCAGACTCCTAGTAAATCCTCACACATCATAATCCAATCATATTGCAAAGATTCAGTAATGGGCTCTCCATCAATCAGTAACCCAAATTGAACTGCAACATCCCGTAATATAATGGTTAATTACTCTCCACCACACATATGAAATGAATGAGTTTATTCCCTCCACCGCTCAACTAAAGCGATGATAAGATGTCAGTCTAACTGGATGAATCCTATTTGAGCGACTCCCCAAAAGCCAGATTGTTGTAAATTAATCATACGTTGATCTAAACTAATTTTGCGACAAACTACAGCCTCGTAGACAATTCAAAATAACTGTAGATCCATTATTCCACATTTCTTGTGATCGATGTGTACGTTGTAAACAAAACTGGGTCGGATCTATAGGTCCTGGATCCATATTTAAGGCTAAATATAAAAAACAATGAAGATATTAGGAATTGTCATGTAGAATAAAATATAAATAACATAGTCCAAACATGTTATATATTAATAGTACAAACACAAAAAAATATGACATAGTACAAACATGTTATAGGCTAATAGTATATTGAGGCATTCATGCACAATTTCATTCCAAACAACTCATCAACTTCTACTTTTTTATATCAGTATCTCCACCATTTCCAAGTTCAATG